CGCCGACACCACCACCGACCGGTGGTAAATCAAAACGGTATTTATTTAGTTTGCAAGTCATGAGTATATTCTAATTTCAAATTTTATAGTCGTCGCAGTGGCTGAGGGCGAGGCAGGGGCAGGGGCCGGGGCCAAGGCCATGGCCGGGGCCAGAGCCAGGGCCAGGGCTAGGGCCAAGGCCAAGGCCCAGACCAAGGCGAGGACCAGGTCGCTGGGCTATCCCAGTACTATCCCAGTACCAATGCACAGTCTTGCAAGACTGTGCATTGGTACAAGAATGTGGGAAGTATTAATTATTATTATATATATTAATTAAATAAATAATAAATGATAATTATTAGCGATATTATATTTTTTCCCTTAGTTTTAGAATATATTTTAAAGATTGATGTGAACTATCGCTACAAAACACTGATTCAAAAAATTACATTATCAAATCTAATAGGATTTTCCCGATCTACTTTTATGGTAAAATTGTCATATTATATTCCAATTATTTGTGGTATAGACAACGCTTTATTTAATTTTATATTGCATTCTGCTTCTCTCAAATAAAAATTTAACATTTTCGACGACAAAATCGAGGTAAAAAATGAGAAAATGAGTATTTTTAAAATGACAAATAGACACAAATACAAATATTTATTTAGCAACCGGTGCTGTATTAGTATTTACTGTAAAATGTTGCTATTATTCCATAAGCTTTGCTATCTGTCTAAAATGTGGTTTATGTACAATTATTAGTATCAGGTATGTTGTTTGAAATTTTATTATTATTATTTTTATAAAAAAATATTATTATCATATCTAAAAATTGAGAATGAGCCCCCAACAATTAGGAATGTTGAGCCAAATCAGGCTTGACATTTTTTAAATTTAAGCATTTCTTTAAGAAATTTTTTTATTTTTTTGGCAAGTCTAAAAAATTTTTAATTCGGGTTTTCTGACACTTTCTTAGTCTCCCCAACTGTCTTTTGTAGCACGATGTTTTGAGACGTTTCGAATGACATTTTTTTTTAATTTAAGCATTTCTTTAAGAATTTTTTTTTAATTTGCATTCATAATACGTTTATTAACGCCTCCAGTAGGAGTCGTTTATGGCTATCTATAAAAGCACACTGTGCTTTAATGAATTTAGGGTTATTTAGTTTTTGGATGCCGCTTTTGACTTGTCAGGTAACAAATTTTGCGTTGTTGCTTCGGCAATTTCGCGAATTTCGGGCGGAGTGCAAACTAAATTCTGTTTCTCATATTTTATTTATTATTATTATGTTGTAACACTAATAACTAATAATTTGTAAATTTTATTTTTAATGACAGACGGCAGAAATAACTCAAAAAAACATACTCGTTTTATAATGGCATTGGCGCACTCATCCTATAAAAAACTCGCCTACGGCTCGTTTTCTAACTTGGCATTCGTGCGCCAAATAAACCCTTATAAAACTTGTATACTATCTAAAGGTTTTTTTGCAAGTCTAAAAAATTTTAATCTAGTACATCTGACACTTTCTTAGTCTCCCCAACAGTCTTTTGTAGCACGATGTTTTGAAAACTCTGGATTGGCATTTTTTTAAATTTAAGCATTTCTTTAAGAAATTTTTAAATGTTTTCTTGCAACTGTAAAAATTTTTAAACCAATACATCTGACACTTTCTTAGTCTCCCCAACTGTCTTTTGTAGCACGATGTTTTGAAACGTCTCGATTGGCTGAATTAATTCTCTATTTTTGAATCAATCTAAAGTCTAAAGTGATTGGCTTTCTCACGTTTATTATAGTGGCCGACTTCAAACGGGCCAATCACATCAGTCAGTGTACTAAATTTTTTGAATGAATACAAAAATCTATCGTGATTGGTTTTTTACATTATTATAACGGCCAAGCTTAAACGGTCCAATTACAATGCTTACAACTTTTACAATAATCCTTACGTTAATTCATTAATATTTTTTTAGTGTAATTTGCAAATAAAGTGCCATATTTGTTAGCAAATATTTTGAAAACTATTTGAGATACAAAAAAACGCAAAGACTATGTTGTAGGAAATTTTATGAGCTTTGATTTTGTGCTTTAAGCTTCATTTTTTTGTAACACTTACTTTTTGTGATATAAAAAAGCATAAAGGACACCTTCTTGGTGCCTCCCCACCACCTGCTCAATTTTTTAACAACCCTAAAGTCAAAAATTTTTCTCTTGATCATGCATTTTACGACTTATTCGTTGATTGGGCTAGTAATTAGATAAGTGATTTTACAGGTGTTTAATTTTTCAAAATTGGGTAATTTTTAAAGAATACATTTTCAAAATTTATGCAAACTTTGATATTGTTTTTAGTTACAAAGATAAGTGAAACAACTTTTTGTATTAACATTTATATTATTCAACATCAACACCAAAGAAGCCAACAAATAAGCCATTTTTTCCTCATACAATTTCTCTTAATTTGAGTCTCCATATTTTACCACTGGACGTTTTGGGAATTTCATTGATGAACCTCACACCCCCGTAGAGCCGTTTCTGTGCACAAACATTCCCTAAAACCAATTTATTCTTTTTATTCCTTCGTAAAAAACAATTTTACCATTAACAAAACAAACAAGTTCTTTCTCCGTCACATTTTTATCCGGTTGTTTGACCACAAAAGCCATCGCTATTTCCCCTGCTACTTCATCAGGAATTCCAATCACTGCTGCATCTTTCACTGCAGGATGCTGAATCAACAAGTTTTCCAATTCAGCAGGAGATATCTGAAATCCTTTAAACTTAATGATGTCTTTTAACCTATCAACAATGTAAAAAAAGTTTTCTTCATCATAATAACCCAAATCGCCTGTTTTGAGATAACCATCATTGTCAAAAGCCTCTATTGTTGCGTTTTTGTTAGACAAATAACCCATCATTAAACCGCTGCCTTTGGCTCGTAATTCCCCAATTTTATGCGGTCCTAAAGCCTCTTGAGTTTCAATATCACAAACTTTGATTTTATTAGTGGGCAAGACTTTGCCTACACTGGCGATTTTTTCGGTTTTTATTGGCGACATTGTGATGCCGAGAGAGGCTTCAGTCATACCGTAAAGCTGGCGAACAGCTTTTAAACCTAATCTGAAAAATACAGTTTTTATTTTTTAACTAGAATTATGGTATTATTAATACCTGTCTTTAACCATTTCTTCCAATTCTTTGGTAATAACAGCAGCTGCACAAATAACGTCTTTGACTGATGAAGTTTCGTAAAAACTCACAAGAGGACTTTTGGCCAAAAATAGCAGAAGTGGAGGGACGGTAAAGAGTGTCTCAATTTTGTAATCTTCGATGATTTTCAAATAAACTTCGGGTCGAAATTTCGGAATTATGATTAATTTGACGCCGTAGAAAACGCTAGTCAGGGCAATAATGTTGCCCCAAATGTGGAAAAACGGTAAATTTCCGATTGTTGCTTCGTCTTCTTTAAAGTCCAAAAAATTGCGGTCACTAAAAATTTAATTTTTCTTTAGAAGAATTGTTAAATAACTTTACCCAAAGTGAAGAAACGGCACTCTAAGATTCGCGTGTGTTAATAAAACACATTTTGGCAGTCCTGTGGTGCCTGAGGATGTTGGAATAATGGCGATGTCTGTTTCCGGTTGAACTTCGACTGGGCAAAAATCTAAATCAGTTTTGATCAAATGATCAAAAGTTAAGCTTTCCGACTCTTCTTCATCGAACAAAATTATATTTTCGGGCAAAATCCCTTCGTGTAATAGAGAAAATATATTATTTGATGACTTTTTTGAACAAAATATTAAATCTGGTGGACAAATTGTAAAAAAGTGTTTAAGCTCGCCGGAAGTATAATCATGATTGAGGAAATTAATTTTGGCACCGATGTAAAAACCGGAAATTGTTGCAACAAGGTATTTCCAATTATTTTGGGACACGATTGATATCACATTGCCTTTTTTCAGTCCCAGTTTAGTTAATTGGGAAGCTAAGTTAACGGAAGCTTTGAATAGTTTTCCATAACTTATTTCTTCAGTATCAACCTAAAATTTTTTTTGGTAAAACAGTAAATGAACGGAAATACTTACTAGCGCTATTTTCTCTGAATTTTTTCGTTTTAATTCGTTGTAGAAAGTAATGCCGATTGATTGATTTGGGATGTGAAAAGTATCAGAAGATCCTTGTATGATATGGTTACTCATCATGGTAAACGTTTGGCTTCTAATGCCATTAGAACGTGTATTTTTTATCAATATTAAAGTAATTTAATTGCCATAATGGATTTAGAATGTAATTTATTTAAAACAAGACAATTGCGGTAATTACATTAACTATCACAATAATCGATTTAATTTTTATAAAACAAACTAAAACGACAACTGTTTTGAATAATTGAAGGGCTTATTGTAAAAACGTAATAAGCCACATCATCAAATTATTGAGAAATAGGATTTTGGGTTTCAGAAAAATCTATGAAATTTATATTTTGATATTATAACTTTTAGGTTTTTTGATAAATGCACAAATGACTGTGTGGTTTGTCTAAAATCTTGATTGTTATGTAAAAAAATGTGTGGCTTGTCACGTTTTTGCAATAACCCTTTCAATTAATAATAACAATAATGGTAATGTAAAATTATTAAATAATTCGTTATTTAAGTTGAAAAATACTTTTGTAGTTATAGATAACTTTATTTTATATAAAAAATTATTTTTATTATAACGAAGACTAATTAATTATTTGAACTAATTTTTTTATTTACGTTATATGCAACTAATTATACACTTGTGTGCTGGTGGTGGTAGTTTTTAGAAATGATTAAATTGGCGGTAAATTCAAAAGGAGCGCTCCTTATTTCAATTACATAACAAAAATAACTAACCCAAATAAAAGTGCGCGTTAATAAACCACGCCCCAGTTATTCGCTATTAGCAATGAGTATCTGCAAGAGTTGTCGAAAATTGTGCCCCGATTTTATCGTCAATGATTTTGTCACCAACACAATTAAAACAATACCAATTCGAGCGGGTTATAAAACGATAAGAGTGACCTTGAAAAACGCCGATTTAAGCGATAAAAATTTAATTTTTTGTGCATCCACATCCTTGTCTATAGTGTGTCGAAAAGGGTGTCTTGTCGATATCGTCGATATAGTGGTTAAAAGCAGCCCCACGGATAAAACCCTTCGACAGATCATTCCTGTGCATGATCTTTTCGCGAGAGAAGCATTTTTTTATAACACGATTCTAGTGGATTTGGTGGAATTTCATAATGGAAGTGTTAAAATCGAAGTGCCGACACTCATCGCTGCGACTTTGGATGACGGAGATGAAGCAATAATCCTGCAGAATGCAGGATGGGTGCCAAAATACGAAAAGTGGGTCGGGGAATTAACCCAAGGTCATATTTTCAAAGTTTTGCAAGAATTTGCCAGATTACACGCACTGAGTTTTGCTTTCGGTAAACAACAACCGGAAAAAAATCAACAGCATAGAGAACAACTCAACAAAGGCTATTTTAGTGTTTTCGAAAATAAACAAACTGTTAGCATCATACGAAATAATTTGAATCAAGCGCTGAAATTTTTCAGCGATGATAATGTTATACAAAAGTTGAGAAAATTTGAAGATGAGATTGAAACATTGTTGGAGAATATTTTAAATGAAATTCCAGATAAAAGTGTGTTGCTTCATGGAGATCCCACTTGTAATTTTCTTTTTCATTACGAGGTTTGTACTGAGGTTATGCAACTAACAAAACGCTTCGCTAGAAGAGGTTGGCAACTATTAGGCAATTTTTACCGAAAATTGTTTCTTTCAGAAAAATGAAAATGGTAATATTCCATCAAGGGCTAAGTTAATTGATTGGCAATTAGTTAAATTTGGATCACCTGTTTTGGATCTCTCACTATTTCTGTTCACGAATTGTCCCTTTGATGATATAAATAATGTGGACACTTTCTTGAAAAGTTACCACATCGATTTGGACACATTTTTGAAAGAGTTGGATTGCAACATTGAAGAAGTCTTTTCATTAAAAAATTTGGAAGATCACTGGAAGAAATATGCAAAAGTTGGTTTTGCTCTTGCAATTTTAACTTTGAAGATTCTTACAATGGAAATAAATAAGAGGCCGAATTCCAACAATGAAAAATTATCAATTGAAGAATTTATTGAGGGTTTTCAAGGCCCTCCAAATGAAGATTTTGTGAGAAAAATTAAGGATATTGTTAAGTACTGTGTTGCTAATGGACTGATTTGAGTTGTAAGAAAAATAAGTGGCTGAAGCTTACTAAGAATTGCTTGTTTATATTAAATTATTTTTTCTTAACAAATAAATAAAAAAATGTGAAGTGCAATTTCTGTTAATATATTACTTTATTGTCAAAAATTCACACTGTCAACACAATTAACGTTATTTGAAACATGATAAGTACATAAAATTACAAAGTTTTGCCCTAAAAGAACACAAAAAGGTTGGTTAACACAGTAATTTGACTATTGTAAGAACGGATTTCCTGAAACAATACGATGTGGTCTGTTGATATCTTTGTGAATTGATCCTTTTAGTTTGTGGGGCAACTCATTCCAGACGGCTTCAGGTAAGCGTTCTAAAGAAAACCTTCAAAACTTTTTCTAAAAAACTCTCATACTTACCGTTACACCTGTATGCCAGGTCGGACCAAACGACCATTTCTTGCGAAAAACAGAACACTCCCAGCCGTCCTCCGTGAAGAGTTTTATCGAAAATATTGCCAGAATCTGTAATTTTCTTATCCTTTTCATAAATCTGCAATCGGATTAACCCAATTCTGGGTCTGTGGATGAGGTACCAGCGGTACGACGTTTTCGGTCTCCATCCCATATTCCTTGTATCTTTCCAGAGCAATTTCACTTGATTCGGTGTATTTCCAGTGTGCCACAAGGAATTCCGTAGCATTTTTCCAGGGCCGGTTTGCGAGTCGACTAGTTTTATCTGAATACCTGCCTCTCCAACGGCACGGAAAGGGTTGCTGTCCCAATAAGTCTGCTGGTTTTGCTTCCACATTACCACATAGAATTGTTTATTGCTTTGATAACCGAATATAAAGCCGGCGTAATCATCGTCGACGTCGGTGCCCACATAGAAGGTGCCTTCGAAATCAACACCATCGAATTTGTCGTTGCCGACGGCGAGGCCAGGGTCGCTGTTTTGGGTTTGAGTAATTTCAGCTCCTTGGTTGTAGATCTCCCAGATTGGGTCAATTTGAGAAGAGCCCTCCGGGTCAAGAGCTACTGTTTGGTATTTGCTAAAGTCGGTTTGGTAGATGAGGGAGTTGTTGGGGCAGTTGTCGACGTTGTCGCAGTGAGTGTCGTTGTCGGTGTCGCACTGGCAAGCGTCGCCCCGACCATCGCCTAAAATTTTTTTGAATTGTTCCAATGAAAACGAGCCACCCCAAATATCTCAGAAACTAAAATGACTTTGCAAAAACGCCGAAACAGGTCGATTTTATTTCCGAGAGGGACATTTTTTGACGTAATTTTTAAATCACCCCCAGTGTCACTTTAACCCCCACGCACCCCAACTTTCAAAATTCAAAAGGCACTACCCTACTTGTGGCACATCAAATGAAGCTATTTTAGCAAGGTTTTCAAAACTTTTTACCAAAATTGAATCAGACCGTCTTCATGAGATAACAGGGTGTTCTAATAAACAGGGCCGCCACAAGCGGGGGTGCAGGGCGTGCGGCGTATGCGGGCGCCATATCCAGGGGGCGCCAGACGAGCAACAAATTTTAATAAAATCATAAATAAAAAAATTGAATTACTCAAACGACAAAAGATGCAAAAAAATTAAAATACATAAACGTAATTTAAAACAAACTACGACACAATATGCGCAGAAAGTCATCATACTGGAGGTCCGGATGTCCGGAAAAAATTTTGAAAGATTTTGGGGACAGGTCTCCTACATTAAAAGAAGAAAAAAAATCTAAAAAAAAGTTCAGAAATTTCCTAAGCAAGCTAAAAAAAGCTAAAAGATCTTTTTTTCGATTATCTCAGTAACCGGTGGACATCTTTACAAAAGATTACATCTCAAGTAATTTGAATGAATCTATTGGTGATACCTATTACAAATTGTGTACTACTAGGAGGCAAGTGACAAGTAGTAACGTTTCCTATAAAACTATATCACTTTTTCAAATTATTTCAAGAAATTTAATTTTTTTCTAGCAGAATAGATGCAGTTAAACAATTTTGGTATCATATCTGTAGACTTTTTTATACTACGATGAAAATATTTGAAGATGATTCTTGGAATATTGCTACTACCCATAAAACTCCTTTACATGCCTTTACAAAATCGTATTAGTTGTTTTCATCGCAATTTGAGCTGATATTATAAACAAAATAAATGATGCGGAGTTTTGATAGTGTAAATTTTCTTCAGAATCTAATATTTCATTTTACAAAATATCATTCAAATAAAAGCTTAAAAATATATAAATTCTTTATTCCGCTTGAACCGAATATTTATTTCGTAGCGTTGGTCCTCTTCTCGGTCTTATCAAATTCGATTAAACGGGACTGTATAGGTAGAATGAAATTTAGAAAAGTACAGTTTTTTAAGTAACATTTTCATTGTAAAACTTATTTGATTATTTACAACTCTAGAAAACAACATTTTAAATACTTTTTAATTAATTACTTTGATTTATTGACACTTCTTGGTAAACAAATTTAATAAAAAATCTCTTTAGTTTTTAATCTTAACAAAATTCTGTGAATATATTTTTTATAGGTACAAAGGAATACAAACTATCTTAAAAAAAATTGCAAAAAAAACTCGAAAGAGGTTAATTTTGTTTTTAAAATAAACATTTTTTAACGCAATTTTAAACCTCTATGCCAAAAGAGCACCTACCACTACTGATAAAAAAAAATGAAAACACTTTTAAAATGCTCTTTAAAAGCTTTTTTCCAAAATGAAATGATTTTTATACATTCATAAAATATCGGCTAAAAAACTAATCTTTCAGCAGTCAGTATGTTGAAAGGAACTTTATTGCTATTTTTTAGATACTTACATTAAATTATAAGAAACTTTATTGCTCTCTGTCCTTTAGTCCGATTATTTTGACAATAAAATAAAGCAATAAAAATATGTTTGTTACAGCTTCAAAAATACTTATAACAATATTAGTATATTTCTTGTAATTTATTTTAATAGTTTTTATTAGAAGTAATTTCGAATTAGAAACATTATCTTTTGATAGCCTGATTGCCTAGAAAATTGTTTATAGAACACAGGGAAATAAAACACTAAATTCGTCGCGACGTTTCGGTACGTCAGTTCTTCCTTGAATGTGCCATGCTTCCCTCGCCCAACCAACAAAAATTCTTCGCCTGAAGAAGATACAATTAAAGTATCGAAACGTCGGACGAATTTAGTGTTTTATTTCCCTGTGTTCTATAAACCATTTTCTACGCAATCAGGCTATTATATTTTTCAAGGACATTAAACACAAAAAGGAGATTATCTTTTGAATAGATAATCCCATTCAACTTTAGAAAAGAGGCTCAAAGAACATTTTACAAGCACTTTTATTTGATCTGTCGCAAGTGAGTTGGTGTCATTTGAAATTTCGAAACTGAGGTGGGAAAAGTTAAAGGGGGTACTTTTAAAATTGTGTCAAAAAACGTCTTTTTTGAAAACAAAATTAACCTGTTTCATTTTTTTTGCAAATTCTTTTTTGTTCGTTTTTATTAGAACATCCTGTATCTCATGAATGGATGGTCTAATTCAATTTTGGTGAAAAGTTTTGAAAAGCCTGTTAAAATAGCTTTTATTTGATTTGCCACAAAAAAGATAAAAACACATAAGGTGTGCACATTTCAGATGAAACTCATTCTAAAAGAATCTAAAATAAGAAAATTCAGAAAAGACAAAAAAAACGAGAATTGTTGAGCCTCAGTTTGCAGGCATAGTAAGAAATCACGAAAAATGTTTGGAATCTTTGGCCAGTAATATTCTTTGCTACAATAATATGGTTGACGTGGATATAAAGAATTTTCTTCTGGGGGAAAAATAATTTTAATATGTGTACAGGGTGCAGCGTTTTGGATGTCCGAATAGGGAATCTCCAAAACTAAGAGGTTTAGCCAAAAACGAGTAATACATTCTGGGGCTCATTTTTTGAGAAAATAATATTGGTTAAAACCGCATCTCGCTATCGTCTTTTGTTTTTGATTTATAGACAAAAATTAACATTTTAGCGAAATTTAAAAAAATTCATATCTTCGTTATTATAGAAGATACGAATTTGAAATAAAAACATTATACAGGCACTTTTTTACGTAGAATTTAATAATGTAGTTAACAATTTTTTTCAGTTGATTGTTTAGCCGTAATAAAATATACTTGTATTTTTTTAATGGGAATTATAGATGGCTATGTCATTTTTAAAAAGCTTGTTTTTTTCTTATCTAAAAAATATATATTTGTAACAAATTATTATAATACATTTTTAGCAAAAAATTATCTTTGATTTTTATTCGCATGTTGCATCTTCAACTAAAAGGATTTAAATTATATTATTCAACCAGTGTCACTAATGAAAGAGTTTTCTAAGTACTAAGTAATGAAAAAGATGCAAAATAAATTGTAAATCAACTTATTGGCGACTAATAACATTTCTTTGTTTTTAAACAAGCTAACATTACCATTGCAACTTCTAGTGATACAAAGAGTGTAGTAAGAAAAGCCGCTTTAATTCTTCAATAAAATATATTTTATATGACACAAAAATGACGATATGGCTATTCAAATACCCAAATTCCGTATATGTAAAACGTTATCCTACCTCCATTAGATCATCAAACATTTTTTTTTTCTAATTGTGTTGACTGTTGACACATTTGTTTTTCTTATTTTTGGATTTTTTTTAAATATGTAATAATTTTGTTCTGAGGCACTCTGATATTTGTTCAATGCTTCTACCGAATCGTATTTTTTAAATCTTTATAATTTTATCTATTTTTTCATCTATTTTACAGTTCACAAAACTCTTATTGATTATTATTTACACATTTGGAGTAAAATAGTTTTTCCATGGCCAACTATTATCTCACAAAATATGTATTTCACTTTTTAAGTATAGTTATAAAAAAATATTCTGTTACAAATATATATTTTTTAGATCTGAAAAAAATAAGCTTTTCAATATTGCCATAGCCCCCTATGATTTCCATTAAAAAAAACAAGTTTATTTTATTAGGGCTAAACTAATAACTGAAAAAAAATTGTTAACTACATTATTAAATTCCCCGTAAAAAAGTGTCTGTATAATGTCTTTATTTCAAATCCATATCTTCTATAATAACGAAGATATAAATTTTTTTAGATTTCGCCAAAATGTCAACTTTTGTCTGTAAGTCGAAAACAAAAGACGATAGCGGGATGCGGTTTTAACCAATATTATTTTTTCAAAAAATGAGCCCCAGAATGTATCACTCGTTTTTGGCTAAACATCTTAGTTTCGGAGATTCCTTATTCGGACATCCAAAATGCAGCACTCTGTACAGTCAATAATTCCAATCGCATTAAAAAAATTGGGATTTTCTTCTTGAAAACGCATTTTTATTCTATCTTGATCAACTTCATTAACAAGAAATTTTATCCAAATATTAATTAATCCTCGAATAATTGCATTGGTCACCTCATTAATATTCTTACTTAAACTAGGCTTGCTCTGTGACATCGTGTAACTATGTCCTATTCCAGTAAGGTAACTACCATGGCCAAAGAAGTACAATGCACTTAAAACTCTAAGGTGCACTGGTATTCTAGCATTTCGTTGTGCTCTTTGCATAACTGGCCGCTGTGCATTAACTAAATCTTGAAAACTAAATTTTTTTTAACAAAATAATTTCAAAAATAAAGCATCATTCAAAGTAAATAGATTTGTGATATCCCGTAAGTGACGCTGATAAATTCTGTTTTCTATCCTGTTTCTTCTAATGTCTTCTTCATAAGCAATAATTAAATGAGGAAATCCATCAAACGCCATTGTTTATAATGCACTCTTACCACTGATTTGGATTTTTCTACACTGACAACTGACGTTTGTCTCCTTAATTATTTTAAATGCTACCCACAAAGTACCCTTTAAAAATTAAGCATTTAAAAGTGAAAAATAAAGGGTGTATTTAAAATTTTAACAATTAATTTAAAAATTACGTCAAAAAATGTCCCCCTCGGAAACAAAATCGACCTGTTTCGGCGTTTTTGCAAGGTCGTTTTAGTTTATGAAATATTCGGGGTGGCTCGTTTTCATTGGAACACCCTGTATATTATAAAATGTTACTCGTAAAAATCGTCATTTAAAAGATTTTGGTCTATTTACATAACAGACTATGAAAATGTAGCAAAAATTGTATTACCATCAGAATCGAGTTGATCTGGATTGTAGACTAGATAACAGTTATCTTGATGGTCTTTGAATCCGTCATTATCCTTATCATCATCGCAGGCATCCCCTATATTGTCCCCATCTGTGTCCAATTGATTTCCGTTGGGAACTGTGGGGCAGTTATCAATTTGATCGGGTATACCATCGCTAAATGTACAAATAAATCTTTAGAAATTATGCCCAATTACTACTTACTGATCTTGATCAGGGCCTACATCACACTCATCTCCGATATTGTCGAAATCACTATCTTTCTGTTTGGGATTAAAGACATTAGGACAGTTATCACAAACATCTCCAATACCGTCACGATCACTATCCCTTTGATCCCTGTTAGGAATCAATGGACAATTATCCCTCTCATTTCTTATCCCATCATTGTCAATATCATCGTCACAACGGTCACCCTTCTTGTCTTGATCCGTGTCTCTTTGGTCCGGATTCGAGTCATAAGGACAGTTGTCGCAAGCATCCCCAACTCTGTCTCCGTCTGTATCCTTTTGATCGAAATTAGGGACATAAGGACAGTTATCTTTATCGTTGGGAATTCTGTCTTTATCCGCATCGTTATCACACGCGTCTCCTACTCCATCGCCGTCACTGTCCTCTTGTCCAGAATTAGGAACATCCACACAATTATCAAGCTTACATCTTGGGTCTCGACAAGGCAATCGTTGGTCAGACCACCCATCAAGGTCATAATCCGGCCCACAGTGAATACCATTTCCTGCCCATCCAGTCTTGCATTCGCAGGAGTACGAATTCGGACCGTGTTGGACACATTTAGCGTTTGAATCGCATTGGATTCCGTTAGGGCAATAGTTTTCTCCAAGACATGATCCGACACTGGGATCGTATCTTCCATTGGGACACTCTACACAGTCGTAGGAACCCTAAATAAATTTTCTTCTTGTGATTAAAAAAAAAATTGATGTGGACGGATAATTCATTAATTTCGAGAAGAACACGAAGAGATTTTTTAAACGTTACTAAAATGAATAGAAGCAAAATGCTCACAAAATACTGTCGGTTTATCCAAAGTTTAGTTTTGAAAATTTAGTAAAGTCTGTTTTTTTTTAAATGGAAATGCCAAACAGTCTTTACGTTGGAATCACTAGTAAATTGAATCATGGTAATTTTAATAAAGGAAGTTGGCAGTTCCGGTTTTTTGAATTAATTTGAAAACAATGTCATCAAACGTCAATACAAAAAATCGTCTAAGAAAATTCAGAGACGAAACACCAAAAAAGAAACAAATTCGGTACACTAACAGTTTTTCGAAATTTGGAAACGAATAGTTCGCAACCAGGAAATTAGAAAAAGGGCCCGTTAAAATGTAGACGCATTTTGTAATACAGGTTTGCTAAATATTCTTAATTTTTAGCAAGAAATCAACAAGAATACAAAATAAACATGAATGAGAAAGAACCTCTGAAAGAACGCAATTAAATTAGTGTCTTGTGCATCGTTTTTTGAGGAACGAGTTGAAAAAGTAACAATTTTGAAACTAAAGCTGAAGAAGAATTTATAAAATGCATCAACTTTGAGCTCATTTCAATAAATTACACAAAATTTATTGCCAATCATCATAATACCTACTTGTATCTTTTACTAAATAACTTTTTTCTTTATATACATCCTTTTTCTTCAAAGTTTTTGTAGTAAGATCCTCATCTTTGTCCACAACATTGTTCTTACTATCAAAATTATTAGCACTGAATTCTGTCTTTAGACATTAGGTAATGATGTCTGTCCTCAGGTATTCAATTATAGCGCTTTCAAAGAGCAAACAGGCACACAAGATTCATAAAAGTCAAAATTTTGACAACATCTCAATTTGAACACATAACCATAATTATTTAACAAAATTTCTAGGGACAAAAGCAAAGAGAAAACAAAATTTGTGGGTATGGAGACAAGCTGCTACCAATTTTTTCACCAAAATTTTTACTTGATAATTTCCATTTAAAGAAAAAACAGACTTTAGGTTAACTTCAAAATAAAATCAATATTGCCAACTCAAACATTAGTATTTTTCTAAAAAAAGGCGTATTTTTAAGATGAAAACATTACAAAAATCAAATGGAATAGTTTGTTTTCAAATAAAGCTATCCAAATTAAAGTAAGGTATTTTACCTCTCACAAAATGTTTTTTGAAGTTAGGTTTTTCCAAATCAATTAAATCGTCACGATCTTAAAAGTCAAAATTTTGACAACATCTCAATTTGAACACATAACCATAATTTTTTAACAAAATTTCTAGGGACAAAAACAAAGAGCAAACAAAATTTTTGGCTATGGAGACAAGCTGCTACCAATTTTTTCACCAAAATGTTGACTTGGTAATTTCCATTTAAAAAAAAAACAGACTTTAGTTTTCTGTCAAGTACACGTTTTTAATAATTATTACAAGACATTTTAAGAAATGCTCTCAAAACAAATCGAAAAAACTTGATTGTGTCAAAAGTGGTTTTTTATGTAGAGGTCTCACCATTGTGTTGACGCAATAGGCATTTGGCCCGCATGGGGCTGCTTCACGGCACTCGTCGATGTCCTCACAACGTTGTTTGTTTCGTAGGGCTTCCTCTAAGCCCACTCCTTGGCTTCCGCGGCTTCCGGTGAACCCATGAGGGCAAGGGCCGCACCTATACCCCGGCGAGAGATTTGTACATGGTACATTTTCGTCACAAGGTTGGGCTAGGTCGCACTGGAAGAAAAAGGTAGAATATGGGGAGATGGGGCTGCTTTGATTACCTCGTCCAAGTCGTGACAATTCGTTCCATTTCCAGTGGATCCGGGAGGACAACCTTCGCAATGGTAAAAGGGATATTCTTCGATGGGATAACATCTCACTCCTATAAGTGGAGTGCCCATGAATAACGACAATCACTCATTTTTAGCTAAATTTATTAAAAAAATATAGACATTCCAATTGTTATATAATAAAAAAATAATAAAAATCTATGCTAAAATAATACTAAGTCTTTTTGGTGCGTTGTGTGTGAGTTACCACTTTTTTGAATAAAAATTTTGGGAGGGTTAATTCGTGCTTCGATACATAAACAGTGTAGTTCTTTTAGTAAAACGGGTATCTGGCGTAAGGTGTCGTAACTCTGGGACTGGATTGTGGATTTTGGTGCCCCCAAACAGGCACACACCCTAATAAAAAGAAAAACAAATAAAACAAAAACTTTTGTTTAAACCAACTATATTTAAGACACACAGGATTATTACATAGAATTAATCGTATTTCACATCACACGCAGCTAATAACATCTACAGAACCCTGGAATACAAAAAACTGAACCAATCAGCAGCCAGATGCTCTAACTACGTCCCACTGTAGCGTTTTAGTAGGTTTGACAACCACGTCTTACTGTAGTTTTAGTCACATGTTAAGTACGCACAAATTGCCAAGGAAGCTGAACTACTCGTCAAAATTTGGTGTTTTTCTCGAATTTTAAAAATATGTTTTAGTTTAGCTTCCCTTTAAAGCTAAATCTAGAAAAGTCACAAATTCGAAAAGACAAGTAGGTACATTATTAGGAATTTATTAATTACGATTTTGAAGAAAGTCTAGTCACACAAGCAACTAATTATCCTAGTTATAGGGCAACGTACCTGGCCCACAGGGGTTGGTCTCGCAAGGGTTCCGTCTCTGGCAAACTTCCCCATTGCCCTCGTATCCTTGTGGACAGCTCCCGCAACGGTACCCCCTCTCCGCATCATCATAACATTGCACTCCTCGAAAGCATGGCTGATCTCTACAAGTGCGTCCTCTCCTACACTGATACCCATTTCCGATGTATCCTGAAGGGCAAGGGCCGCATCTCAAACCCGTGGCGGTCTCTTCACACCGTACACCCGGAGCGCAGGGGTTGTGTGTAGCACAAGTGGGGCGAACGTACTCAGGGGGCCTGCGTTTGCACAATTCGCATTCTTCGATGAGGTGGCGTAAATGGTCAATGACTTGCGAATGTTGGCCGATTTCTTCGTCAAGACGGTTGACAGCAATGATGAGTTTGTTGATGACGTCGAAGAGGGCGTCTGGAAGGGCGAAATGGGGGTTTTGAAGGGGTTTTGGAGCTGTGGGACTTACTCGTGTCGATGGCGTCGAGAATGGGGATGTCAGCGCGGTGGTCTTTGCGGCCGCCGATGATGGGGTCGTCACGGAGGTAGCTGAAGGAGTCGTCATAGTCGGTTTCTGGTTGGACGGGGCAGTTGTTTTTGCTAAGCACCATGCGGAGGTCTTTGTGGCCGTCGACGAATAATGGGTATTTTTTGTCATGGAACTAAATGGTTTCATTAAGGAATTAAACAAAGGGTTTAATTTAGGATTTAGTTTGAAAAAAAAAACAACGCAAACACAGTATTTATTTTTGTGTTTTTCTGTAAACATTTTTAATCGTAAAGGGTGACCCAGGGGTGCGTGCAAGTTCCATAACTTTTTTTCTATCCAAGTTATCGGCATGATTTTTTTTAGGGCGATAAATCCAATAATGAGGCACATTATAATAGTATATTATAATACTAGTTAATAAGCACGACGTGTCAGCGGAGTGCTTTTAACGTCGTAAGTGTTTTTAAGGCGCTTATAAACGAGTGTTATACGCTCTTTTTTATTATATCTGCCCATTTACGATCTTTTATGAGCATTGAAAAGATGTAAATTTACACAATAAAATTATCAAAGGTTGTTTGTAAATCGTTTTCGTAGAGACGGTTACTAGTTTACGTTGTTAAGCAAATTTTTTGACGTTTGTAAAAATCCGTTCAGAAAACGAGTGAAGAAAGGCTTGCAGAACAAGCAGAACTGCGATTAATTCCGGAAAAATCAAAACTTGCGTAGTGGCTATATTGAAGAATCCACTTCAAACAAAATAGTTTTTTCTAAATGCATTGCTGGTGTTCTGAACACATCGGTTGCTGAATTAACTTCATCAAGAGTTATGGACGTCCAACAGAAGAATGAAAACGAAAAAGCTTCTACTAAGTAGTTATAAATTAGAAATAAGAAACAACAGTAACCAGGTTAAAGCGGCGGGCTTTGAAATTTCAAACAATAGTAATTGTAATTTTAATATTTATGTCAATAAATAAAAATTGGTTTTGAAATTTTACTATTTCTTGTTACCTAGACAACTTTAAAATTTCAGCGTGCGATAAAGGCCAAATTACGCACGCTGCAGCGTGTTTTATTTAATTTAGGATTATGATGCAGGTATCATAAAAAAATATTTTTATTTATATACAGGCTGTCCCAAAATAAGATACACAACTAAGTTCTGTTTTTTTAAAATAAAAACCCCAATTTTTTTACAATTCGGATTCGCCACTAAATTGTGAATATAACGCACCTAGGTTTTTTAGACTTATCTGCAATAGTTTTTGATTTATGCGAATTTATGTGTCAAAATTGCGTAATGCGTAGACCCACAAAAAATTCATAACTTCAAGACTATTCAAGATAACTTATCCAACTTTTTTTCAGTCGATTCCTTAAGCTTTATCGCATTTTCAGAGATAAAGGACAACTCGGAGTCGATGTTCCGTCGCCTACTACAATTTTTTGAAAATGACAAAATACAAATGGCAATAACTCGATTTTTTAAAATACAACACTTTATATTTTATTGGACATTTTTTATGAGCTTTTTGTCGATATAGGGTAAAATTTGTGAAATTTTGCAAAATAAGAAATGTTGATGGTTTTTTTTCTAAAAAAAAAATCGAGTAGTGGATAAGCAGAGGAGGTACTATTCCTTGGCCTGCGCGATCTCCAGACCTTATTCCTATCGATTTCTTTCTTTGGAGATTGTCCAACAACTGCAGATGATATGAAAAACAGGATCACGGAAGCCTTCCATTCTAGAGTTCGGAGCTCATTTACTAAAAGACTAGCAGCTTGTGTGGAACATGATGGTGACTTATTTGAGCAGTTTCTATATGTAGTCTTTTCTCAAAATTTTTACATTGTTTTCTGTTAATCATTCTTTCCTGTTCTTCTAAAGATTACTGAAACTGTTTTCTTTATTGAAATGTACTCCTGTTTCTATTACAATTTCATTTTATTGAAACATTTTTTTTTCAGAATTGCATAGTTGTCAAATTTTACGATAGTGGAATACTCGTGTTTTTTTTTTAGAAAAAAAAATAGCTTTTCTTATTTTGCAAAAATGTAACAAATTTTACAAAGTAAACCCCATAAATCCTAGATCGACAAAAAGTCTATAAAAAATGCCATGCAATGATGCAATAAAATATAGAGTGTTGTATTTAAAAATCAGAGTTACGAGTATTGTCTTTTGTATTTTTTTTGTATTTTGTCATATTCAAAAAATCGTAGTAGGCGATGGAACATTGACTTTGAATTTGCCTTTATCTCAGAAAATGCGCTAAAGCTTTAGGAATCGACCGGAAAAAAGTTGGTTAAATTGTCTTGAATAGTTTTAAAGTTATGAATTTTTTGTGGGTCTACGCACGACGCAATTTTGACACATAAATTGGCATAAGTCAAAAACTATTGCAGATAAGTCTAGGTGCGTTATATTAACAATTTAGAGGCGAATGCAAAAATGTAACAAAAATTTGGGGTTTTTATTTAAAAAAAACAGAACTTAGTTGTGTATTTGTATCTCCTGTATATGAATAGAAATATTTTTATAATGTGCCTCATTGTTGGATCTATCGTTTAAAAAAAATCATGTTGATAACTTCGATAGAAAAAAAGTTGTTGAGCATGCACGTACCCTTGGGTCACCCTGTATGTGTATTTAAAAAAATGGTTCAAGAACTTACCACTTCTACTCTTGGATCTACCATGGACTCATACATATCTCTCATCGACTTGGGGGTGGCAACCATTCCATAAGACACACAATTTATATACAACGTGGCATGTGCCCCTGGTTTGGTCTGATTTACGGCCAGAATCAGCGACTTGATGATACTATTCTCGTGGAGGGAGTCAACTTTGAAGTGTTGGATTCTGCGGCGGCCATCCTCCACAGTTTCAACAATAACTACATCAGACTTTAATTTTGTAATTCTTTCGGAAATTCATACAAACCTCGTTTCGTGCTTCTGTCAAGTTTGAGCTCGAATTTCTGATCGGTTCCTGGAAATTCAACCGCAAAAAGCGTCTCTGCATTATGTACAATTCGTCGTTTGGGTTTGATGTGATTGATATACACGATGAAATCATTCTTTTCGATCACTTCTTCCAGTTGTTTGGTCGTCGCTGCAACGTACCGTTTTTATAGCTCAACTTGTGACAAATAAGGAGTGATTATTGGCAACGGGATCGCACAAACAGTTCCGTGTTGCTTTGAACTGTCTGAGATTCGAGAAAAATGGATGAAACGCAAATGTAGGGCAGTGGTTTTAGTGTAATATGAATTGTATATTTGCAAATGTAAATATTTAGATTTTTGGTTTAACAAGTATTCTCGTAAACGGAGATTATGATTAGGAGGACGGGAAATAACATTTAAGCGGCGGAAATTTTATTTCAAGGAAAAATTATTAGGAGACAAGAGTCAATCAATCCTACTTTATTTTTGTTATACACTTCTAACAAGAGTTTAATGATGTTTTGCAACTAATTGTTTGTAATGAAATGTAATGAAATTCAATACTCATGATCAATTGTTGAAATTAAACAGCTTGTTTGATCTGAAGGCGATTATTTTTAGATTCAACACGATTAACGAATCTATTTATTTCACTTTCTAGGAAAGAAACAAATGCGATACTTTGTCTGACTAATTGGTTGTTATTTCGTTCACACTTTTAAAATAGAAGAAAAATTGTCTAAAGACGAGTGATTTAATTTAATCTCCTCACTATTTTATGGCTTGTAAAATTAAAACAACAGTCAAAAAAACGTTGCTTAATTCTTGTTTATTTTGCAAACAAGATTTTATTTCTATTAAGGCAACAGTGCTTGTGGTAAATATCAAGCAATGATTTATTTCCATAACTGGCAATTACAACTAACCTACAAACATTACGTTTTCAAGATTGTTGGAAATATTGAGCAACCGTAATAAAACATATAAGACGTGAGTCTACTGTCAGCACACTAATGAAGGTTTTATAATTTTTTCACTGAAATTTCAGAGATTAGAATTTTATTAAAACAGTTTAGATTTTTTTTTAATTCTGATATTTTTATGGAAGTATTTTTACATATTTCAGGACTCTGCTTTACTTTAGTTTTTAGTGGAAAATACCAAATTGAAACAAGTTATTTGCAAAAGTGAATTTTATTAAAATTATACAGGTGCCCCAGAACTCGCGCCCCAAAGGGTAAGATACCAGGAACATGGAAAAAATGTTAAAAAAATTTTATCTATAAAAATTTATAAGTTATGAGAGTTTAAATCTTGCACTTTGACTCCCATTTATTTCTGTGGGAAAAATAATATTCTAAGTTTTTTTGCTACAGGCTATTAGAAGAGGAAACAAAGAAGCTATATCATAAATTAACTCTGTTGAATGTTATTTGTGGCTTTTATCGGCAAAATTTTTGTACCTTTACTCGATAATTGTAAAAAAACATATACAAGAACATCAGCATCATTAAATAGACATAAAAAATGTCAAATGCCAAAAAATAAATGTCAAAATTTTTTGACAGATAGAATTTTTTAAACATTTTTCTATGTTCCTGGTATCTTATCTTATTTGAAATTTTTCTATGGGGCGCGAGTTCTGGCGCACTTGTAGATATGATTATTGTAAATTTTATTGTTACATATTAATAAATAAAAAGTTTGTACATTTATTGTTAAAAATAACATATAAATTCATTAGCTTTGAAGAAGAAATTACTCTTATTGTATTATAAAAAAATGTAATCATTTTATGAAATGAAAAAAATGCTTTGAAATCGGCAATCGGGGATATTATGTTTATAACTATATGATTTTAACTTCTTTATTTTTAGGAATACATTTTAAATAATATTTAAAAGTATTTTAATTTTTTACAGGGTATAAATGAAAGCGCTATCTTAATAAGCTCTCCATCTTTAAGCTTCTTAATTTCTATTGCAACACAATATTCTTTCTAACTATTTTATGTGCTAGCAAATTAAGTCATTAAATGTACAAATCAATTACCTTTCAACACTATACAGGGTGAAAAAAAATATATACGCATAAGTTTAGGGTATGATAGGTTATGCCAAATAATAATTAATTGCAAAAAAAAATTAATCTAAATAAGTTTCTTAGTTACCAAAATATACCGTGTTGAAAACGCTATTATAGTCTAAAATTTTTGATAATTTGCGCTGATGACACCAATGCCGACATAACATTTGTTTACGCCATGTCTGTTAATAGCTAAGTGAATCGATTTTCATTATTTTGATGGAGTTAATTGGTATTTTTTATTGATATTCGACAAAAATAAAAAAGTTTTGTTTAACTATTTTTTCATTCATTGTACTTATTATAGGTATTTGATCATAATCTTTCATTCCCTCAGTTTATGCGTATAAGTTAAAACTCACCCCTATATAAGTTTAAATTACTGGATCCACAAAAAATTAAAAAAAAAAAGATAAAAACCGTTATTAAATTTTTGTTTGTTTGTAAATTTATTTGGATGCCTATTTAGTAAGAAAGATTACCTTAGAACTTTTCGTTTTAGTTTTATAGAATGTTTAATTTAAAAGGTGAAACCAAAAATTATAATAGTCGGATATTTTAATTTTAAAACTTTCCATTTTGAAATGTTTTTATCTGTTATTTCCATGTTTTCCACAATAATAAGAGCTTTTATTTCTGAGTTTCTTATTTTTCTATCACAAAATACATATTTCTTATTATCGTTCTGTTATTAATGCTACCAAATTTGTTGTTGTGAATCATTAAATAAAAAAAAATGTAGGTTCATTGTTTGAAAAAATTACACTAACATTTTAACAAACTGTACCAAATTTATCATCCTGAGTCAATAAAATAAAAATAATGTAGAAGTGGGTGATATTTTTAGGACTTCCGGTGTGCATTCTTAATTAAAACAGCTATGTTTCCTATTTGTATTAATTCAGTAATTCTCAACAACACAGTTACAATAAACTAGTCAAGGTCGTGAAGTTACATAAAATCCGGGGGTGGAATTAATAACCTTTCAAGGTAAATCTTTCAACTATCATTTTGTAACTCGAAACATGTGATTATTTGACAAAAGGAGTAAAATAAATTTTTTTGTTAGAAAGTCTTACTTGTATCAAAAGCAACGGCGTCTCCTAGCGTCGCGACGTAGCACACGAGCCAAACGGCCGCTGCAACCCCCTTCATCTCTTCTTCACAGTCACTTCACAACTTAGCGCCTTGCTCGCGACTGGACAAGTGCTCTCTTAGTGGACTTACTTGGAGTGATGTTGTGTAGGATTTAGTCATCGGAGACATGCTCCTTATTTGTTCCACGAGCCAATTATTGTCCAGTTCTCTCTCTAGGTGTGTTGAATAAATTTCGGGAGTTGGACGAAAGCCTTCAGAAAAGAGCTTCGATTTACATAAACATCTGTTAGACACATCGTGATGGCATGGATGCGTGGCCCAGTTGTAATATCCATTTATAGAAAACCACAACAAAAACACTTTCCAATTGTAGCAATAATGTTGTTGAGATATGTGTTTGGGACGGGATGTAGGAGTGAGTGACGGGATTGCCCAATCTGGGCTTTTTTGGGAGCGCCACTTTTTTATCTTTATTGGTAAAAAATAGCGTAGGTTTTGGACTAGTCTTTGAGCAATTAGGAACTTCCTGCAAATTATTGCTCATTCCGGGTCGAATTGGCTCAATTATACGGGGTGATTCATAAATGGATCGAACAGAAATGTCATGCCGTAAAGGTCGAGGCGAGTTTTATGACATTTCATGGTTTGTTTGGTGATGACTGATGGATTGGTGTCACGAGAAGTAACGAGAATAATTTCTCCTTTAATTTTGTTTTTTTTTTTAAATACAAACAATTTTTACCCAGTCCACTTTTTGTCATTTTATTTATAAACTCACCGAATTTTACCACTCGCTACGACTCATCTTACAAACTGTCATTTCTCTGATTACTTTTTGTTTTTGTTAAGGGTCGAAGGACTTGCATGCAAAGCCATCCACAATATATTTTGTTTATTAACAATTTGATATATATTTTTTAATAAAATTATAAATATACAGAGTGTGTCAGAACTCGCGTCCCAGAGAAAAATTTCAAGTAAGATAAGATACAGAAGTATTTTTTGATGTCTATTTAATGATACTGATGATCTTGCACATGTTTTTTTATAATTATTTAGTAAAATTTTACCAATAAAAGCCATAAATAACATTAAACAGAGTTACAATTTAGGATACAACTTCCTTGTTTCTTCTTCTAATAGCCTGTAGCAAAAAAAATTGAAAATTATTTTTCCAACAGAAATAAATAATCAAAGTACAAAATTTAAACTCTCATAACTTCGAAATTCTTCTAGATAGAATTATTTTAACATTTTTTCCATGTTCTTGGTATCGTACCTTACATGGTATTTTTCTCTGGGGCGCGAGTTCTGGCGCACCCTGTATTTTTAAACGCAAACGTGCCTTTTATGACTAAATGACACAAGTAAAAGTTTTACCGTTTAGGCATGGAGCAAAAATTCTGTTTTTTTAACAAAGCGCTTTTACTTTTACCATGACATTTACCAATGTTGTCTCTTTCGCTGTAATTTCTGGAAAGGTACATAGTAGATCATCAGCATTCGACATTTTGCGCAACTAACTGCACTAGCCATCTACTAGTTTGTTAAATAAACAAACACATTCGAAAATCATAACACAAATTTCGATACTGATGTTATGATTTTATTGCAAGGCGTCCTGATTATTTTGTTAATTTACTCGCTAATTATTGTGTTGTTTTTCACTCTCGATCTGAATACGTTTGCGAATAAAATAGTATTTGTTATTTGGAGTAAAAGGGAGTTTGTGTAGCTCAGCTGAATTATTTGTCTACCACTACCACTTTTACTCCTAATAACATAATATACTATTGATTTTCTAAAACCTTAAGTTTTAGGTACTTACCTACTTACTTAATTGAACTTTGCTGAAGTAAACATTACCATATTTCTTCGTAATTTTTTGCCAATGTATCTGGTGGTGGCAGTTTTTAAGATACTTCTGATATAAACTGTTAATTTACTTAAAAAATTTAACACTATAGTGCGAGTCTAGCGAAGTCTATAAATAATAACGCTTTCAACTCTGCTACTACAATTTCAAATTTTTACATAGTTTGCTTAATCATTACAACTTTGTTCTTTAAATTTAAACCCAAGAAGTGATTCGTGGCTAAATGGTATCATCCGCCAACAAAAGACTATTACTATAAGTACTATAGTAGCCAATCTCCTATTTCAACTTCGTCGTAAAATTAACTTGCCTATATGAAAAATTACTAATATTTGAACTCTATTTGTAAATTTTACAATCTCAACCCAATTATACAGGGTATTCCACGAGTGATAATGAGCCTAACGGAATTGAAAATACAACCCACAACACATTTGCAAAGTTAACTTGGATATTTTAGATATCGCATTGTTTAAAAAACCATTTATGAATCCACGATAGCTTTACTTCCAATAATTTTATTTGTCACAACTGATATTAAATTTAGCAAAAAGTCAAAATGCATTCGAACTTCGAACGATGAGAAGTCAGATCTGATTCTCATTTATGGCGAATTTGAGAAAAATGCTTCTGCCGTTGAGCCTTTGTAAAGACTACAGAGAAAAATGTCATATAAGGTAAGATACCAGGAACATAGAAAAAATGTTAAAAAAATTTTATCTATAAAAATTTCGAAGTTATGAGAGTTTAAATTTTGCACTTGACTCTATTTATTTTTGTTGGAAAAATAATTTTCCAAGTTTTTATCTATACACTATTAAAGAGGAAACAAGGAAGCTGTATCCTAAATTGTAACTCTGTTTAATTTATTTGTGGCTTTTATTGGCAAAATTTTTGTCCCTTTACTAAATAATTGTAAAAGAACATATACAAGATCATCAGCATCATTAAATAGATATAAAAAAATGTCAAATGTCAAAAAATAAATGTCTAAATTTTTTGACAGATAGAATTTTTTAAACATTTTTTTCATGTTCCTGGTATCTTACCTTACTTGAAAATTTTCTCTGCGGCGCGAGTTCTAGCGCACCCTGTATAAAGTCTTTAGGTATCCGTAGTAAAGACAATGCTTCCTGAATAGAAAAGCTCCAAAAAGGCCTGAATCATTAAAGTGTTTTCCAATTATAAATAGACCAATAACCTTAAAATAAAAAAAATACTTTGTATTTTCATTGTCGGTTGGATTTACGACCTCCCAAGCAAGTCAGTCATAATTCAGAATAATTTTCAAAATTGAGATGTAAAACAAACGTGTTTTAATCTTGTAAATAGTTATTAGAAGTGATCTTCTATGTACAGGATGTCCCACGAGTAATAATGAGCCTGAAAATTTTTTTGAATCAACCAACATTACATTTTATAGATAACGTGGATATACGGATACCTAAAGTATGTAAAAAAAGTATGTAGTTCTCCGTACGTGGATATTAAAATATTTCGTTTTAATTAGTTAAACATAGTAATCGTATTTTTTTATTTTTTATTTTTGACAAATTTCTATCAGTCAAAATGACTTTACTCCAGTTTTAGGAAGTCCGGCTATTTGAATATCACGCTGGATAGAAACGTGCAGTCTGCATAAATTCTTATAAATTAGAATCTTGTTGGTCTTTTCGGCAACATTTCAGTAATTCTCACGAATTTCTCCAAGGTTTGACATTTTATAAATTAAAGTACAGTTTGGTCACTATGTTTAATTTATTAAAACTAAATATTTTAATATCCACGTTATCTTTGAAATGTAATGTTGTTTGCTTCAAAAAAAATTTCAGGATCATTATTACTCGTGGGACACCCTGTATAAATCAGTATACGAGAAAATAGAAATTAATATTTTGGAGGAGCTTCATTTCAGTTTTATTACTTTACAAAAAAATATAATATTCAATTACTTATTATTATTTTCAGCGAATAGAAGTGGCGGTTTTAGCCTGAAAGTAAGAATTGGACAGTTGGTACTTAGCTTGATATTTTTTAACCAGTATAGCATTCCAGATTCAAGATCACTTTGCATTTGTATAGACAACCATTTCTACATACTGGCTAAGTTACTCTACGTTATGACATCACAGCTTTAATTTCAGTAATCGGCTTAGTTAATTCTATTCTTCGTTTAGAATTTTTATTTTTTGTAATGATAATTTTTTTATTTGTATTTTATAGGAGGGGTTTTTGGGAAAATAAAACTAATTGTGCCTTATTCTACACATATTATATTATCAAAACAAATAATAAATCAAAAAATTAAGGAGAAGTACCCCAATATTTTCTAGAAATATCGGAACAACGTCAGATAGAATATGGCACCTCTTTCTTCTTACATTTAAATTACAATATAACGGCAGTTATTGTCTTGAATTTGTGACTAAAACTCATAAAATCGCAAAATTTCACGAGTTTTATCATAATAATCTATGAATAAGTTACACAACAACATACTTGCAATAAAATTCATTATAAACTATATCTAACAATTTCGATTTATATTTATAACTTAGGTAACTAAAAATTTAATATAATTTTAAAACGTAACATATTTTTGTAACTAGCTTTAAGTTAGATTTGAACCGATTTGATGGTCATTCAAATAAAAATTGGTCCCTAAACTTGAATAGAAAAAAACGCATCCCAACAAACGTCGAACATTCATTTTTCGTAGTTGGAAACTCCCAACTACCAACATTTAAATATATTCCTCAACAACAAATTACTGACAGTTATGGTCTCTAAACGACATTTACTATTATGACATGATATGTACACTGAAGGTATCAAGTGCCGAAAGGTGTCGCTGCAACGTCTAAAGCCCCAAATTAGGAATTACTGTACAATTATTGTCACAAACGCTTAATATCTTCCTAATTTTGACGCACATTTAGCTACCATAAATTAAAACAAAAAGGGAGTATGGAGTGTTGAGTGAGAATCTAATTGTGCACGTCCTTAGACATTTCTACTAATTCTTGTGGGTCGGCGTTCAGCCTATCCATTTCAGTGATTTTATCCAGTTCGCCCACGCTGAGGATGTCCACCAAGCGGGCGCCTATGCAGTCGCACATCACGTTGATGGTGGTGCGGAATCGATCCCTAAAACAATTATTGTTGACACCAAAAAATCGCAACTAATATATACTATACAGGGTGTTCCATTGTTACAAATTTAACCAGGTGATAGAATATTCAATTTTAAGATAAAAGTTTCCCATAAACATATTCGAAGAATTTTATACAGGGTGTTCCGTCTAAACCCCACATTAGAAGTATTGGGAGTTCGAATAATCGTATTTATTTGAAAATGGGTACATAGCCATAAACCATTAAGTCCTCTTAAATGAAAATATTTTCAAGATGGAGGCATCTCCGCTTATACCGGAAGTCGGTCTCAACTTTCTTATTTTAAATGGAAAGGTATATTTTTTACTGCGTTTTCGGATTAATCGGATTATTTTAAGGGAGTTTTCATCAGCTTTCCCTATACCTAAATTTAGCAGTTTTTGAAATATTTGGAGTTTTTCAAAAAATTTTGGATCTGCACCTTCCAATTTAAAAATTGGTAACTCTGCCATTTTTGAAGATTTTGAATTCGTTTTTTTGGCGTTTGAAAGAGAAAGCTTAGATCCTTTTTCTGGTCTTTTCAAATTAAAAAAAAATAACATATCCCAAAATTTTAAGGTTACTTTTGTAATAATTCAAATACTCATAATTAAATTTTTTCAAATGGAATACCCCATTTTTTATTTTACTAAATAGAAGAGAATTTAATTGTGCATTGATCTGTATTAACATTCCCTATACCTAAATTTAATAATTTTCAAGTTATGGTCTTTTTGTTGAGACTACAGAAAATTTATTACTAGCCACTCCCGTTTTCACATAGTTTGCTATGGAAATCAAAAATGTCAAATTTTTTTCTAAACAAACGTCAACAATAAATTACTATTTGACAAATAGTGCCAAAATATGGAGAATCAAAGTTATGCAAACTTAATTATTATTGATAGGTTCTACCATGCGATCATCATTTAAAGCTGACAAGTGAGAAAAATTTATTTTTGTTTAATGAACGACATCATAATTTCGTTACACTCTCTATAAATACAAAATAAATTAATTAAATCTAAGTTTGAGTATTTTGACTCTTCATATTTTGGCACTATTTGTCACTGTCGACGTTTATTGAGAAACAATTTTGACATTTTTGATTTCCATAGCAAACTATACGAAAACGGATGTGGCTAGTAATAGATTTTCGGCAGTCTTAACAAAAAGTCACCATAACTTGAAAATTATTAAATTTAGGTATAGGGAAAGTTAGTACAGATCGATGCAGAATTAAATTCTCTTCCATTTAGTAAAATAAAAATTGGGGTATTTCTTTTGGAAAATTTGAGTTATGGGTGTTGAATTATTATAAAAGTAACCTTAAAATTGTAGGGTTTGTTAATTATTTTTCAAAATTTGAAAACACCGGAAGAAAGATCTAAACTTTCTCTTTCAAACGCCAAGAAAACGAATTCAGAATTTTAAAAACCAGTAGAGCTACCGATTTTTAAAGTGGAAGGTATAGATCCAAATTTTTTTGAAAAACTTCAAATATTTCAAAAACGGCTAAATTTAGGTATAGGGAAAACTGATGAAAACTCCCTTAAAATAATCCGATTAATCCGAAAACGCAGTAAAAAATATACCTTTCCATTTAAAATAAGAAAGTTGAGACCGACTTCCGGTATAACCGGAAGTGCCGTCATTTTGAAAATATTTTTATTTAGGAAGACTTAATGGATTATGGCTATGTATCAATTTTTAAATAAATATGATTATTCGAACCCCCAATACTTTTAATGTGGAGTTTAGACGGAACATACTGTATAAGGGAGCTACATCCCCTGAAAGGGGTGCATCTTTTAATGGAGTTTTTCCAATATTTCAGAAACCATCGTGGATAAAATTACAAAATTTGGTACAACTGATAACCTTTATACACCCAAACAAATTCAAAGATAAAATGTCGAAATTTTTACACAAAAGCGTCCTAAACTGGGGGGTTTAGAGTAAAAACTCCCCTAACTATTTTGGCGATTGGTTTTTGCTACTTTCAGCCACAAAATTCTAAATTTCATAGTTTTTCACAAAAAAGAGGTCTCTTGAGTTTTTTCGATAAAACTTACCGTTTTTGAGTTACAATTTGTCTTACAGACCATAAAGAGGATAAAAATTAAAAATCAAATTTGTATCACCGTTTAAGAAACCCGTGATTAAAAATTTCGACAACTGATCTTTAAATTCGTTCAGGTGTTTAAAAGTAATCAGCTGTACCAACTCTTGTAATTTTATCTATTCTGCAGTGGGAAAATCCCATTAAAAACGCATCTCTTGCAGAGTGTGTAGCTCGCTTACGTAACATTTTTTGATACATGTTCATAGGAAACTTTTGTCTTAAAATTGAATATTCTATCACCTGTTTAAGTTTGTAACCATAAAAACGGAACACTCTGTATACCCCACAATTTACCAACTTAAAAAAAAACTCAGCTACCGATTTGAGTTGGAAACAGAATTTAAAGTGTCATTCTGTTACTGTTACAACCGGAAGTTACTCTAGTTGTACCATTCACAAATAAAATTTAGTATTACCGACTCAAACAATCATTTTTAACCATGCGGAACTGCATAGAAATTTTATATGCATTTTGTGAAATTTTAGTTGCAAATGTTTAAACACGAAATTATACAGGATGATTCATTTCAGCTCCGGTCTTCTGTAGCTCAGTTATTACTTAAGTGGCAATTTTGATATTTTGTAGACTTTATTTATATTCTGGAGGGCATTTCAGGAAAATATTTTTGGTTATACAGGGTAGCCCAAAAATAAGTTACAATACAAATTTATGTTTTTTTTAATGAAACACCATATATTTCTTGGCATTTTTGAATGCAGCTTTTAATTTCAATGTGCTAAACTTCTGTTAGTCGTTTTTGCTTAGTTTTTGAATTAAGTTGTTTTTTTTTGGCGAAAATATCCTCTTTTTAAAAATTTATTACATAAAAAGTTGAGACAAAAGTTGAGACAAAAAATTTACCACTATAAAGAGGTACGAGCTTTAAGACTATAGTAAAATCGTTTTCCTAAGACCTACTAAAAATTTTAATACTTTTAATCACTTATCTAACGATGCGGTATTGTTAAGAGTAAACCAGAGGGTAAACAAATCATAAATTAGTGGAACACACCCGGACCCAGAAACCAAGGAAACAGGTCAGTTTTTAACAGGGCCGTACTACTTACTTTCTTTTTGTCTAAAATACTTGAAATATATTTTAATAGTTTTTGATGTAGTTGTTATTAAAGTCAAGTATTTTAAGAAATTAAAAAAAACAGGTGGTTATTAACAAGCTATTATTAAATAAAACAGATTTTTTTAATAATAGCTTGGTAAAACTCTACCACTACTTTGGTTTTAAATACGGTCCTGTTTTATTCTAGTGGGTGCAGCAACACTTGCAAAGGAACGTGACATTTATGGAGGGTTACAAATTCAAGCCATTGTTTGGTTAATCCCTTATAATGTATGATAAAATTTTTAATAGGTCTTAGTAAAACGATTTTTGTGTATAATATTTTTTTAATGTTTTGCAGTCGAAAAGTTAAAAAAATGTCAAAGCTTCTTAAAAGTTAAATAACTTAAAAAATTTAAATTGAACACCCTATTTTTAGTCTTTGCAACTAAGAGATTATTAAATGATCTTTCCAAAAACATTTTAACTGTCTACAATTAATAACTTAAAAGATATTTGACTATAAACATTAAGAAAATAATAATCATTATTTTAATAGCCAACAAGTGCACATTTGCACTAGAGATGGAAAAAATATCACTCAATAATCACTTTTATGTTACACTGAATCCATTCTTTTTATTTTTACAATAAAACAATTCGGATTTCAATACAGGGTGTTTACAGACTTGAGAGTACAGAAATACTGGTTACCGAGAAAAAAATCACGCAATTGTTATTATTAAGAATGCTATTAACCTCCAAAATATTGGTACACGGTTTGAGGGTCACTGGAATTATTTCCTTGTTCAGATAAAATTGTATTGTTGCTACAATTAACATTTAAAATTAAATATCTTTTAATTTATCAATTCTAGACATCAAAAGTTTATTTTTTAGATAGTATGGTATCATTCTATGAGATGTAAAAATAAAAAGAAGGGTGTTCCATTTAAATTTTTTAAGTTATTTACTTTTAACAAACTTCGTAATTTTTTTAACTTTTCGACTGCAATACATTAAAAAAATGTTTTAGTCTTAAAGTTCGTACTTTCCTCTTTACAGTGGTATTTTTTTTCCAGCTGTCTTAACTTTTTGTGTAATAGATTTTTATAAAGAGGATGTCTTTGGCTAAAGAAACAACTTGATTCAAAAACTAAAATAATCCACTAATAGAAGTTTAGCTTAAAAACATTGAAATTAAAAGCTACATTCAAAAGTGCTTAGAAACATATGGTGTTTTATTAAAAAAACATAAGTTTTGGGCCACCCTGTAAAATTAAAAATATTTTCCTAAAATGCCCTCTAGAATATAAATAAAGTCTACAACATATAAAAATTCCCACTTAAATAATAACTGAGCTACAGAAGACCGGAGCTGAGATGAATCACTCTGTATTTTTGCTTTCAATTTTTTTATGTTTTTGGCAAACGGTTCCGAAACGTTGCCTAAAATAAAATGTTTCATTTCGTTTTAAACGAAACAAGTTCTTGACGTTTAAATGCGAAAATTGTTTCAGAAACTCTGCTTTAAAATCTGTATGTTGGTAAATAATTGTTTGTATCGGAAAATCCGGTTTGAAATCTCTCAAACAAAGCCATTCCGCTCGCCGGCAATACTCACAAGAGCCAATCGACCGCCAGGATGTTAATTACTTCCTCGGCGGGTAATCCTACCGTATCGAGGACCATCACCATAGTGACGAGGCCAGCTTGTGGGATCCCCGCCGCTCCAATACTCGCCGCCGTTGCCGTCACACTGCAACCTCCCTCATGAGCAAAACCCACCTCACAATCGCCTACAATTACCAAACGGCCACCGTTTTCCCAAACGTCATTTCCACGTTCTTCAGCTGCGCTATGAAGATGGCGGCCACGGCCTCGTACAGCGCCGTGCCGTCCATGTTGATAGTGGCGCCCACGGGGATGACGAAACGCGTGATGCGGGGGTCGAGCCCCATCTTGTCCAAGGTCTGGATGGTGATGGGCATCGTAGCCGAGCTGGAAGCGGTGCCGAAGGCCGTGGCCAGGACTTGGCTAAGTTGCCCGATGATCTTGAACGGGAGTCTGCGCACGGCTATGAAGTAGATTATGGAGATGGTGCCAAAGCCGTGCAGCACCAGCCCCAGGATAACTGTGGCGAAGTAGAAACTGAGTCGGTGTAACTGGTCGAGGAAGCTGTCCGTCTCGACCATTTTGCTGGCCACGAGGAAGAACACACCCAAGGGGGAGATCCTGCAAAGCGAGAGTTAGCCTGAGGCTCTCGAGACGTCCAATATTTAGTCTCCCCTTCACTTGAAAGCTGATATTTGATCTGGACAAACAAACAGCACTCACCATATCACCCAACTAGTTATGTTCATCATGGCCTCGCTAAGAGTTTGGAAAAAATCACAGAGGATTTTCCCACTGTCCCCCATCTGACCCAAACTGATCCCCAGGACGATACTGAAAACCACCAGACCCAAAACGTTGGTTGTATTCTCGTAATTCTCCTTGAATGGCCAATGGACCAAATCCGCCGAAGTGACATTGTCTGTTTGTTAAATCGCAAAATTATAGTTTACTTAGAGACAAACGCAGTCGCATTACCTGCGTTTCCGCTAAAATTCTTAGGCTGGATGAGGAGCGTTTGTGACTGAAAAACAATCAAACTAAAATCATTGTGGCTGTTTTTTCCTGAAACGAATTTTGAAATCATCGTGAAATCCTGCTGTGAGCGTCGAGCAGGTCGTCACGGCAACCGTTCGATCTTTCGAATGCAATCCAGGATTTATTTCAACTTATTTTTGACCAATCGATACTCAATTAAGGTTGAATTTGAAAAAAACGCAAGACTCACCTGTTGGACGCACGCTTGGATCAGATTAGGAGGGAACAGATTTCTGAAACGAGGAAATAAAGTTAGAATCGATTGAAGATTTTTGTTAGGTTTAGTTGTACTCCGGACGGATACACCGTGACATGAGATCATTAGCATCCATATCAAAATTTCCTGCCGCAATAAGCCATGTCCTGCTACATTTCGCTACAGGCGCTTGCTGGATGCAGTCGATTTAATCAAATTTGCATTTTTCTTTGTATTTTGAACGATAATGAAGTAATAAAAAACTGGAATTATTTTTGCACCGCTTCACGTTTGTATTTCAACGAAAAGCGAAATTTTAATACAAGTCGAATCACAAAATAATCCAAGTTTAACAAAATGTAAAAAAAAATCTAAAAATAAATATGAAAACAAATGAATGAATAACTTTTTTAAATTTTGTTATAACATTAGAGTAAAATGATTTTAAGACAGTTAAAGGCCATCAAAAAAAGTTTGTTTTGTACATTTTTTCTTATCGCAAAACTAAGTCATCTATTAATAAATTATTACTAAGAAAAATTTGATATAGTCTAAAGTTACGACATTTTGATCTTGAACTTTATTTGACATAATTATAAGTAAAGATTACTTAACAAGAAACTACTAATATTATTTAATTCATATAGGGTGTCAGTTTTAAACGTTGCAATCGGCAATATCTCTAGAACTGAAAATTTATTGAGAATCGTTCAAAACCGTTTTGGTGGTTCCACCAATCAAAATGATATGGTAAAGTGACGCACCTCCACCCACCCTTTAAGCCACAGCCACCCCAAGTTGAAAATTTTAAATGGTACTACTTGTGATACATTGTCGGAAAGCTAATAACAAGCGCTTTTCAAAAATGTCATACAACAGCCTATTTGGTAAAGCCGTTTCCCAATTATTCAAAAACGAAGACTTTAAATTTTAATTTTTTTATTATAGGTATACAAGGGTGGGTGGGTGTAGGTGCGTAACTTACATTGTCATTTTTGACTCCCCCTAGAAACCACCGAAACGGTTTTGAGTGATTCTCAATAACTTTTTCAGTTCTAGAGATATGTATAGGTATCTCTATGAATTGCAACTTTTAAAATTGACACACTGTATATTAACAAAGTCTAAAATACATTAAATTATGTTGTTTTAAAATAACGAAAAAACATGTTTAATGTAGTTGTTTTATTTTTTTGTCTCTACATACCTATACCGTGCGATCAAAAAATAATAAATTAGAGTAGGCGGTGATTAAAGTCCTTCAGATGGCAATCCTGATTTTTGACATCAAATGTCAGCGGAAACTTTGACAAGTTTGCGTTTTATTCATTTTGAGCGAAATAATGTTTACTTTAAAGCAGAAAATTTTTATTATGGCAAGTTATTACAAAAATGCTGTACAAGACGAAAACGGTGAATGGTCATTTTCACTTTCAGTTTGTGTGAAAAATTTCCAACCCAGATTCCCAGCCAATGTATTGCTAATTTACTCTAATTTATTTTTTTTTGATCGCACGGTACTATTAAATTTTCAAATTTTACGTCTCATTATTTTATTAGTACATTATTAGCTTTGGAGACTTTAATTATTTGTTAACAACAAGACTAAAAATTGATGGAATTTTTAAAGTTTTATCTATTTATACAGGATGATTCAAAAGTGTCAGACCAACTCTCGAATGGTAATAGCTAAGGATACAAATGAATTCAGATTTTTGTTTCAAACTTTTTTTTTGAAAAAAAAAACAGAACTGTTAATTTTCATATTATCATGTAGGCATTTCAGTTTTTTTGTCTTCGATGTCGTTAGATTATTTATTGTTCAATTTGCTAGTTTGTTAAATGTTTTTTACACCATAAGACATAAATTAGTGATTTGTTTCAACAGGTGTCTGTTCAGTCTTAAGACCTGGCGTTTCCGCTAACTAAATTAAAAAATTGTTATAACAAGATTTTAGAGGTCTACAATGACCTAAAGCTCCGTTTTGCGGCGTGTCTTGAGTTCGCAAAATAGTCATTTTAGTAAGTGAATGATAATTTTGAAAATAAACATGCTGAATTATTGATAAATTTATTTAAAAGTACTTTTAAGATAAAAATTGTCGTCGCATCTATGTATGTTGATTTTTATCGGTTTACATTTGTGTTTTATTTGATGTTTTTACCTTGTATTTTTTTTTCTAAATTATAGTACTTCTATTTTTTACAAAAATATTCTAGGTCAGTAACGCTTTATACTTAGGCCCTTAATATTTCTTAAGAAACAGACAAAAATAAGACGCACATGTATGTAATATTTGTTTAACTAAATTTCTGAGAAATTTGGCTTGTGACTTTGAAATTTAATTGGTAACATTGAATAAATCTACAGACAATCAACAATTTTTGTAATGATTGTGATAATACGTTGTTTTGGATGACATTTATACCAGCGGTTTCTCCTCGAACATTGGCTATAAAAACGTGTGAATCTCAGAATCTGCTAGCCAATGATGCCAAATTAAGAAGATTTCATATTTGTGGCTCATTTGATAACAACAATCACTTTTTTCCATATTATTCAATGTTGCCAACTTAATTTCATATTCACAGTCTATTTTAATCAGAAATTTAAACGTTTGGAATCACACTAACTTGATATCTAACCTTACTAGAAGAAAAACTGTAGGTATTAATTTATTTGTCTCATTACACTTTTTTTTATACCAGCTGATCAAAACTGCGTAACAGAATCAGTTTTCAAAAAAATTTGGCTTACCTAAGTTTATTTTGGTACTTATTATTTACCGTAAATTTTAAATAATTTATGACTAACTTAAAGGAGTAATAAACCTGCGAAATAAAGAACCCAAAGGATAAATATTTATAACTGAAGCAAAATTGCCACCCATTGGTGAATTTTAAAAATAATGGGAAATTGAATCCGGGGTCCTCCACCGTCAACACTGATTGTAGGCAGATTTAATAACAAATGGTTTTCATTGTAATATTTTCTGTAGAAGAATTCTACTATTCTACAGTAATTCATATACAGGGTTGATTATGAAAAAGGCCATTATTTTTAAAGATATGACAATACTTCTTAAAACAAAGTTGCACAGTTTATTGTCACCTATTGTTTGGGATTGATGCTGCTTCCTGTTTCACCGGAACTGACATCAGTTTCAATTTTTTTAATGGAATACCCTGTATATTTTATTATTATTAT